AGAAGAGGAAGAGGAAGAAGAAGAAGAAGAAGAAGAGGAAGAAGAGGAAGAAGAAGAAGAGGAAGAAGAGGAAGAAGAGGAAGAAGAGGAAGAAGAAGAAGAAGAAGAGATTGGATTTATACCCCGCCCTTCACTTGGAGTCTCAGAGTGGCTTACAAACTCCTTTCCCTTTCTCTCCCCACAACAGACACCCTGTGAGGTGGGTGGGGCTGACAGCCCCTGTGAGGTAGATGGGCCTTTCAAGGACAGCTCTTATCAGAACTATGGCTTGCCCAAGGTCACACTAGCAGCTGCAAGTGGAGGAGTGGGGAATCAAACCCGGTTCTCCCAGATTAGCGTCCGCGCACTTAACCACTACACCAAATTCACAGCTCCCTCCCTCCCCTTTGGCAAACGCCTCTCTGAGTCCGTAGGGCAACTGTCTGGGGGAGTCCTCCTGGGTCCAGGGCTGGGGAAAGTGGGCTAGCCTCTGTTCGTATTGCTGGAGATGGGCCAACACGTTCCCCTTGGCAGGATACGCCCTGACCGTGTTGTTGTTTTTTTAACAGAAGACACGAATGCAATCTAGAGACAGTGCAGTGTAGTGGTTAGGGTATCAGACTAGGAACTGGGCGACCCAGGTTTGAATTCCGGGATTTCTTGGTCGCACCTGGAGGCTGGCACCCCTGCTCTGCAGACACCATATGGAATTTCCCAGAGTCCTTCCGGGCCCCCGCAGTCACCTTCCTTGGTGGAACTCACGGCTGGGCCATGGCAAAGGCGGGCCGGACCCCTCCGCTGGGCTCCCAAAGGAGCAATCTTGGTTGTACACCCAGTAGGCCCATCAGCTCCCCTTGGCACGCTTGGCCAGCCATGGCACTCGCCTGGAACAACAAGGGGGAGCGTGTGTGTCTGTGTGTGTTCATGGCTTTTTGCAAATTAGAATGTTCGCAAATTAGAATGTTCGCAAATAAGAATGTTCGCAAATAAGAATGTTCGGAAATAAGAATGTTCGCAAATAAGAATGTTCGGAAATAAGAATGTTCGCAAATAAGAATTTTCACAAATAAGAATGTTGGCAAATTAGAAGGTTCGCAAATAAGAATTCCTGCCATCCAGCAAGGGGGATTTAATCCGCACCAGCAGAAACCCCAGGTCCCCCAGGATCACAACTCATCCCCAGACGACAGAGATCAGACCCCCTTGAGAAAATGGCTGCTCTGGAGAGGGGGGGGGGCTCTATGTCACTGTGCCCCACGGAGGTCTCTCCCCTCCCCAACCCCCTTTTCCCAGCTCCACTCCCAAATCTCCTCGAATTTCCCAGCCCAGTACTGGCAACTCTGTGCATATGCCAGGAACTCAGACATTACTGTGTAAAGTTAAAAGATCTCCCCACCACCACCACTGTGGCCCATGGAGAACCGTGCACGCTTTCCCAGGGGCAGAGAATACGAAGTTCCGCAGGGCCTGTAAAACGGAGCTCTTCCACCAGCCTTTCAATTAGGGGGCCGGCGTTAACACCGTGGCCCTGGCCCTCCAACATCAGCACCAAAGTAATATCTAATAGCCTAGCAAGGAGTCTGGAATACGGAGATTGTTGTCATCTGGATGCCGAAGAATGCCGCCATTGTTTGCTATTTGCATTGCTAGCACTTTGTATTTGTTGTGGTTTTAACTGTTTTATTTGTCTTAATATATCTTGTTCAATGTATCTTTATATATCTGTCTGTAAGCCGCCCTGAGTCTGCCTCTGCGGGGAGGGCGGGGTATGAATCAAATGAACAGAACAGAATAGAATGAAGGACACTGGACCATCTGTTAAAAGGGGGAAAGTAGAAAGGGGGGGGGGGCTGGAAAGTGTGGCTTGCTCAAAGCCCTTTGAGCTTATCCCATCTGGGAAGGGGGGGAAATCAAAAGGAAGGGCCCCAAACAGGCCTATAGCTAGGGAGAAGAAGAAGAAGGAGAAGAAGAGGAGATTGGATTTATACCCTGCCCGTCACTACCTGAAGGAGTCTCAGAGCGGCTGACAAACTCCTTTCTCTTCCCCTCCCCACAACAGGCACCCTGGGAGGTAGGCGAGATGGGAGACCTCCGACTGAGAACTGCTTGTGAGAGAACAGCTCCGAGAGAACTTGTGACTGACCCAAGGTCACACCGGCAGCTGCATGTGGAGGAGTGGGGAACCAAACCCGGTCCTCCCAGATTAGAGTCCGCGCTCTTAACCACTACACCAAACTGGCTCCCCAGACAACGGAGATCAGCTACCCTGGAGATAATGGATGTTTTGAAAGGTGGAGTCTGTGCCCTTGGACCCCACTGAGGTCTCTGACCTCCCCAGGCTCCATCCCCGAATCTCCAGGAGTTTTCCAACCTGGATCTGTCAACCCTACCCCCCCATTCCCCGTTGGTGGCCAGAGGGCACCTAGGAACCCTACAAAAAAGGTTTGCTTGTGAACGTTGGGTGCAGTCCTAATTGTAAGCTCCTCTGGGCAGAGACCTTGCTACTGCCATACAGCATCTAGCACACCTCAGACATTAAGTGACAGAGGGAAGCCAACGGTGAGTCGTGTGGTTGGCATTAAAGGGCTTCTCGATGGGAAAGTGATGATGCAAAGCGTCTGAAGCCTTTAACGGCTTTAAACTAGCAGGCTAAATAAATGTTAACGTTAGTTGATTTCATCAGCAGG